AGTTATCATCTGAAGTACCCACTCTGATATAGTTATCATCTGAAGTACCCACTCTGATATAGTTATCATCTGAAGTACCCACTCTGATATAGTTATCATCTGAAGTACCCACTCTGATAAAGTTATCATCTGAAGTACCCACTCTGATATAGTTATCATCTGAAGTACCCACTCTGATAAAGTTATCATCTGAAGTACCCACTCTGATATAGTTATCATCTGAAGTACCCACTCTGATAAAGTTATCATCAAGACACAACAAACACAATGCTCATAGTAGAAACCTTAGCGTCAAGGTTTCTCAATATTGAAAATATTTTTCTTTCTTTTAAAAACATTCTTTAAAAAGTAGCATTCAAAACGTAATTTTTTCAGACTTTTGGATTATAAACTTGTAACTCACCTGGCCACCAGGAGACAGCGCTCAGCAGTACCAAACCGGCAGTTACCAATGTATTCTGTTACTCCACTAGTAACGACAAAATAACAAATTCATCCGTAAGAATAACATATAACTATAGCCGATAAAATAAGAACTTTTCCAGTTGAACTTACAACTTGTGACAGTAAAGAGATATTTTTCCTACATTGTATTAGCATTAAACATACTTATAGTAGTTTACACATGAGTACATATAGGAGATAGATCCGTAGCTGACATATGTACTTAATTTCACAACTTCTTATTGCACAATTGTGCCTTAAATAAAACAACTTGTTCCTATGGATTTTAATTTGTACCGCTACAAATAAACAAGAATTAATTATCAAAATGCTGTACCTGTCTAGGAGGTTAAGGTGTTTTAGTGTGGAGTGATACTGTACCTGTCTAGGAGGTTAAGGTGTTTGTTGATGGCCGTCTGCACGTCCACGTCGTCCTCCATCATGCCCTCGAGTTGGAGGGAGAAGTCAGTGTTCCACGGCTGGTGTTGTAGGACATACTTCAGTAACAGGGATCCCTTGTTAGACAACATGTACGGACACCAGATCTGTCCTGTTCATATCAATAATATCAAATATCATATTGTTTCTTCAAAAATTTCTCTTAACCACAAGAAGCTTAACAATTCTTTTTACCATTCGGAAGCCATGGACAAATGTGATGTTTTGCTCAATGAAATCTGAACAATACCTTGGGCAAGTTGTTAAACTCTGATTATCTTAACAAGCTGTTAATGCATTTTTTTTGTTTTAAATGTCTCAAAATTTATAAAATTTTCGAGGTCTTTTATCTTCAGATCTTCTTTAGGATCCCTATACCTGTAATTTTAGTTTTTAATTAAAACTGTTTTTAACATATGAACTGTTAAAGTTTTACATTGAATTGTTGTTGAGGTATCAGGCTTTGAACAACTCAGGCCTCATCTCCAAACTTTCTGATAATGACAAAGGACTTTACAGTGCTATTAAATTTATCAGACATATTATTTTTGTAAACGAAGTGGTGTTTACATGTCAGTGACCCTTTTCACATGAATAATGTGTTATCATTGGCCAGTCGCCATGGTTACCTGGTAGGTCCCAGTCTTCCACTGGACTGGAGAGGTTTTTGAGAGTGAGGTCCGTCACATAGACACATCCGTTTGTTGTGGCCAGAGCTACACGGTCACTTCCACACCACTCAGCATCCGCCAGTTTGGCTATCTCTCTCGGACTTTTGGCTGACCCAGTCAGTTCAGGCTAATTTATATACAACGATAAAATAATATACAGTGTAATCAAACAACGGGGAACATACTCTCACACTAGCAACACAATTGTGAACAGATACATTTGTCTGATGAAGGTGACAGGGTACATACCGTACTACTCACCAAAACGTCACACATAAACACTTACTGGTTGTGTTACATGAATCTTTTCACAATCCATATTTCCTGGCAACACAATGATAAAATCGGTAACTATTCATAAAACAGTTACATGAATGCTCTGAAATTATTTAATTAGATATTTATAAATAATTATGAGTGCCTACTGAAAAATTACCTTAGGTTCATATCAAATAACAGTTCACATAAAAGTTATATGGGGTTAGTGGTGTGAGGAAACTTAACCAGTAAAGGATCCAAGAGGCCCTCCCTGAAATCATTTAATTTTACTGTAACTACTTGGGTACAAGATTTTTATTATTTTGAAGGTAATTTCCCCTTCTTAATTGACCTTGATCTTGTGAATTCTCAGCCAAATTTAACACAGAATCAAAGGTTGGGTGGGGTAATGAAAGAGGTATTCTGCACTCAAAGACTTTGTTCACTAGCAGTCCACTAAAGACATACATTTTGACCTGCTCAAACCTTGTGCCCAACCCCTCTTGATCTAAACTGAATCAAATTGACAGTAAAACTGTAAAATAGAGTAATGTCCAGAAATCTAGTTTTCTCGATGTTCAGGGACAGAATGAGCTATTCTGTACCACTGTGTGGGTAGGAAGTCCACAGCCGACTATTAGTATGTACCGTTTATAAACATAGGTAGAATGTCTACAGCTGATTACTAGTCACCTTAGAGCCCTTCATATCCCAGATATCCACTCCGTCGTTGTACATGATCAGAAACTTGATGTTTCCTCTTCCTGGTGCGAACCTGATCTTCTTTATCCAGCCTCGGTGAGTTGGTAACGTCCTAAAAAACAATCATCATCAGTTTATTACCAATAAAATATATGATTTATTTCATCTGTCTTAATAGCAAATGACAGTTAAGTGGGAAATTGTATTTTTTAGGATTTAAACTTAAATTTGATCACATAAAAACTTGAACCATTTCCTATAACATATGAAACACAGGTCCTTCTAACATTCAGTTTGTAGATATCTGTTTATGTAAAATGTGTAAAACATGTTTTTTCTATATACACATAGATTTACCTGGAAGTGCGTCCCTTCAGGTCCCAGATACATAGCTGCCCATCACCGTCTCCAAATGTGATACATTCACCCTTCCAGGCGATACATGATATACTTCCCAGCCCCGACTGTAACAGGAAGGTATATAATTATTCTCCTTAAGCCTATACAATAACTGTATGATATACTTCCCAGCCCCGACTGTAACAGGAAGGTATATAATTATTCTCCTTAAGCCTATACAATAACTGTATGATATACTTCCCAGCCCCGACTGTAACAGGAAGGTATATAATTATTCTCCTTAAGCCTATACAATAACTGTATGATATACTTCCCAGCCCCGACTGTAACAGGAAGGTATATAATTATTCTCCTTAAGCCTATACAATAACTGTATGATATACTTCCCAGCCCCGACTGTAACAGGAAGGTATATAATTATTCTCCTTAAGCCTATACAATAACTGTATGATATACTTCCCAGCCCCGACTGTAACAGGAAGGTATATAATTATTCTCCTTAAGCCTATACAATAACTGTATGATATACTTCCCAGCCCCGACTGTAACAGGAAGGTATATAATTATTCTCCTTAAGCCTATACAATAACTTTAAGATATACTTCCCAGCCCCGACTGTAACAGGAATGTATATAATTATTCTTCTTACGCCTATACAATAACTGTATGATATACTTCCCAGCCCCGACTGTAACAGGAAGGTATATAATTATTCTCCTTACGCCTATACAATAACTGTATGATATACTTCCCAGCCCCACTGTAACAGGAAGGTATATAATTATTCTCCTTAAGCCTATACAATAACTGTATGATATACTTCCCAGCCCCGACTGTAACAGGAAGGTATATAATTATTCTCCTTAAGCCTATACAATAACTGTATGATATACTTCCCAGCCCGACTGTAACAGGAATGTATATAATTATTCTCCTTAAGCCTATACAATAACTGTATGATATACTTCCCAGCCCGACTGTAACAGGAATGTATATAATTATTCTCCTTAAGCCTATACAATAACTGTATGATATACTTCCCAGCCCGACTGTAACAGGAATGTATATAATTATTCTCCTTAAGCCTATACAATAACTGTATGATATACTTCCCAGCCCGACTGTAACAGGAATGTATATAATTATTCTCCTTAAGCCTATACAATAACTGTATGATATACTTCCCAGCCCGACTGTAACAGGAATGTATATAATTATTCTCCTTAAGCCTATACAATAACTGTATGATATACTTCCCAGCCCGACTGTAACAGGAATGTATATAATTATTCTCCTTAAGCCTATACAATAACTGTATGATATACTTCCCAGCCCGACTGTAACAGGAATGTATATAATTATTCTCCTTAAGCCTATACAATAACTGTATGATATACTTCCCAGCCCGACTGTAACAGGAATGTATATAATTATTCTCCTTAAGCCTATACAATAACTGTATGATATACTTCCCAGCCCGACTGTAACAGGAATGTATATAATTATTCTCCTTAAGCCTATACAATAACTGTATGATATACTTCCCAGCCCGACTGTAACAGGAATGTATATAATTATTCTCCTTAAGCCTATACAATAACTGTATGATATACTTCCCAGCCCGACTGTAACAGGAATGTATATAATTATTCTCCTTAAGCCTATACAATAACTGTATGATATACTTCCCAGCCCGACTGTAACAGGAATGTATATAATTATTCTCCTTAAGCCTATACAATAACTGTATGATATAGCCTAGGATGGCTCCTTAAGCCTATACAATAACTGTATGATATAGCCTAGGATGGCTCCTTAAGCCTATACAATAACTGTATGATATAGCCTAGGATGGCTAGGGTATAAGAAACATTTGCTCAGAACATTGATTTGATACATAACCTACCTCAGCAGGGATTTTGGTGGCATCGATGAAGCTTGTGCCCTCAACCACAAAATGGTAAACATTTCCCTCCCCGTCCGTAAACACAAAGTGTTCTTTTAAGGTGACCTTCTGTACCCCAATAGGGTCAGTACTGAAACATAGAAGTAGCAAGGTATTAAAAGTGTCCCATGTTCCCTATAGGGTCAGTACTGAAACATAGAAGTAGCAAGGTATTAAAAGTGTCCCCTGTTCCCTATAGGGACAGTACTGAAACATATAAGTAACAAGGTGTTCCTTGTTCCCCATAGGGACAGTACTGAAACATAAAAGGAACAAGGTATTAAAAGTGTCCCCTGTTCCCCATAGGGACAGTACTGAAACATAAAAGGAACAAGGTATTAAAAGTGTCCCCTGTTCCCTATAGGGACAGTACTGAAACATAAAAGGAACAAGGTATTAAAAGTGTCCCCTGTTCCCCATAGGGACAGTACTGAAACATAAAAGGAACAAGGTATTAAAAGTGTCCCCTGTTCCCTATAGGGACAGTACTGAAACATAAAAGGAACAAGGTATTAAAAGTGTCCCCTGTTCCCTATAGGGACAGTACTGAAACAGAAAAGGAACAAGGTATTAAAAGTGTCCCCTGTTCCCTATAGGGACAGTACTGAAACATATAAGTAACAAGGTGTTCCTTGTTCCCCATAGGGACGGTACTGAAACATAAAAGGAACAAGGTATTAAAAGCGTTCCTTGTTCCCTATAGGGACAGTACTGAAACATAGAAGTAACAAGGTATTAAAAGCGTTCCTTGTTCACACATCATGTTTAGCTTTTAATTGGACCGTTATTTTCTTTTTTACATTCTCTTCAGGTTGGTAAGTATGGATGTATAAAAGTTCATATAGCACAACCAGTGAAATGTTACTGTGTGACTTGTTTACATTCTCTCCAGGTTGGTAAGTATGGATGTATAAAAGTTCATATAGCACAACCAGTGAAATGTTGATGTGTGACAGTTCAACAAACACTTTACTCATGTTTCTGATGAAGGCAATAGAGTAAATATTGTATCAGTCATCAAATCTGATTGGTCATTGAAATGTCGTACATAAGCACTTCACTGGGTGTCCTATATAAACCTTTATACAATGGTTGCCTTTCATTTTATTTTCATACCTTTATGATGCTCTGCAGTTTTCAAAATCATTCAATGAAAAGCATAACGCTGGATACATTATAGATACTGCAGTTTCTTGCATAAACAAGAATTCAACGGGAGTGGATGTGTCGCCTGCTCAGTGCTTTTAGTAAGAAAAAAGTTTTGGCTTGAGTTATCGCGTAAACAGATATGCCCAGACGCTGCCAATGCCCACAAAGTAATACCTATATGCATGTCGCCTCGCATTGCAGGTGACACAATAAATGGAGTTCATTAACCTATTAGCATTGAACAGGAAACTTGACCCGAATCTACCTACTTGTCAGAGATCTCCTGTGTGGAGGAGCTTTTGGACGTTGACATAACATCTGAGGACTTGGACGAGAATATTCCACCACTTTCCTGTTCAGAATCAGCCAAATCCTGAGTCAGCAGTTTACGTTTAAGTATCTTGAGAGTGTGAGAGGGCGACCACTCGAGGGCGGTGGGCCGCGGGATGCTCTTCCCCATCTCACGTAACATGGTCAGACTGCGGAGATCCCACAGCTCCAGGGGCTTCTCTTTGAAACAGATGACAAAATACTGCCTGTTGGGGAGAAACAGATCGGAATTAGTTATATCTCTTTTTTTACCAAGTCTGAAAAGACTTAAATGAGGCAGGTAATACTGAGTAAATGACTAAGTTGAGGTAGGAGATTTTAAGTAGAGGACTTAATTGAGGTAAGCAATTCTGAGTAGAAGACTTACTTGAGGTCAGTTATAGAGTAGAAGACTTATAGTTGAGGTAGGAGATTTTAGTAGAAGACTTATAGTTGAGGTAAGAGATTTTAGTAGAAGACTTACATGAAGTTAGTTATTCTGAATAGAAGACTTACTTGAGGTCAGTTATAGAGTAGAAGACTTATAGTTGAGGTAGGAGATTTTAGTAGAAGACTTACATGAAGTTAGTTATTCTGAATAGAAGACTTACTTGAGGTCAGTTATAGAGTAGAAGACTTACTTGAGGTAGGAGATTCTGAGAATGTCTATAGGTGGTTCCTGGTCATGGTTACCTCGCAGTGTTGTTATCTTACCTGTAAAACAAAGAATACAGGCAGTATAGGCACTAGTAAACAGGAGTTTTATCAAAATTCATTTCCATCAACCAGGAGTTGTTTTTATATTTATTATGTTCAACATTAATTTTATTCTTTGATGTCATAAACGTCCGAATGATCGGAACATATTCTTCAGCATTCAAACCTTTGTGACTGTAAGGACCAAAACCACCACACTTTGACTTGGAAATGAGGTGACCTTAAAGTCATTGTTTTTCCTCATAAAAACTATTCTAGGACTCTAAAACTCTTGCAACTACAAACTTAATTCCTAATTTCACATATTTATGCAGAGTTGGAATCTACATGTACCATGGTACATTGAGTTTGTTATCTACATGTACCATGGTACATAGAATTTGTTATCTACATGTACCATGGTACATTGAGCTTGTTATTTACATGTACCATGATACATAGAGTTTGCTATTTGCATGTACCATGGTACATTGAGTTTGATATTTACATGTACCATGGTACATTGAGTTTGTAATATACATGTACCATGGTACATGGAGTTTGTTATCTACATGTCCCATGGTACATAGAGTTTGTTATCTACATGTCCCATGGTACATTGAGTTTGTTATCTACATGTACCATGGAACATTGAGTTTGTTATTTACATGTACCATGGTACATCAAGTTTGCTATTTACATGTACCATGATACATTGAGTTTGCTATTTGCATGTACCATGGTACATTGAGTTTGTTATTTATTTGTACCATGGTACATTGAGTTTGTTATCTACATGTACCGTGATACATTGAGTTTGTTATCTACATGTACCATGATACATTGAGTTTGTTATCTACATGTCCCATGGTACATAGAGTTTGTTATCTACATGTACCATGGTACATAGAATTTGTTATCTACATGTACCATGGTACATTGAGTTTGTTATCTACATATACCATGGTACATCGAGTTTGTTATCTACATGTACCATGGTACATCGAGGTTGTTATCTACATGTACCATGGTACACTGAGTTTGTTATTGACATGTACCATGGTACATAGAGTTTGTTTTCTACATGTACCATTTTACATTGAGTTTGTTATTTACATGTACCATGGTACATTGAGTTTGTTATCTACATATACCATGGTACATCGAGTTTGTTATTTACATGTACCATGGTACAATGAGTTTGTTATTTACATGACTAGAGATTAGTTTACCTTTACACACATAAGTATACCAAGAGACTGATTTATTGCAGATTACTAAGAGTTCTGCTAACTGAAACTATGCCACCTCTTGAATCTGAAAAAACATTTGTACCAATGATCAACTAAAGGAAATGTTTATAGTGTTTTTTGGGTTTTTTTCATATATCAGATTACATATTAAAATTATTCTTCACAGATGTATATTTAGCATCAAATCTGGTCTCTTATAAGGTTAACAAAATCATTTTATATGTTGAAATTCATGCATTACATTAAACTAAGGAATGTTTTGAACTTTAAGCATGACAGCATCTTACCAGATGAAACGTCCACCAGGAACAGTTCATTCTTGACCAGTCCACTCTGTCCAGGGTTTGGGTAGGAGTAGGAAATAAAACTCTTCAGACTTGACCACTCAATGCCTCTGTTATCAAAATCAAAATTAAACTTAATTTATTTTAAAACAATTCAAACATGTTCTATCAACTTGTTATATAAATCACTCGTGTTGGCCTGGATGGTGGAGTGCAGGTTTTTATGCGGGAGGAAAACGGAGTACCTGGAGAAACCCATGTGGTCTAATCAGGGGATTCAAACCATGGCCATCTTGGTGAAATGAGAGTGCTCTATCCATTGCGCTATCTGACCATCTACCAATAAGTAATTAATCAATGCATTCAACTGGATTTAAGCTGTATACACTTAAACAATCTTTAATAACCATTAAACAAAATATTTTTGTAATATGATACATTTTCTGATCAAAAATGAAAGATTTCGTTTCTTTACATAATTATCTATATACTATATTCAATATTTCTGAGACTTGTATATTTTTATGAATGAGTTGCCATGGCTACCTGACTGGTCCGGCGTGCACGCTGTACTCTCGCTCTATCTGTCCACTAGACACGTGGAGTATCTGTATGGTCCCGTTGTTACTGCCTGTAACAGAAATCTTGCCAGCTTACAAGTCATTTATCATATAGTCAAAATGCATATAAACAATCAAGAGGCACAAAGGGCCTGTACAGCTCAACTATTATTGAAAAGTGGTGGTACAAACAAAAATTCGGGTCTGACCTTCAAAATGGGTCAAGATCATCTTTAGATATACAAACAATATCCTTACAGTCTTGAGACCAAACAACGCTCCTCTAGGTCTTATAGGCAAGTTGAATAAGAAGTATCAAACATATTGACCCCAGTGACCTGGAAGTTGATCAAGGTAAGTTATTCATACAAATATTAATGCCCTTCAAACCATGATGTTATAGCTCAAATATCATCATGGCCACTTCATGCCAGGTGAGCTAAAACAGTTTAAAGTAAACAAACCAGGATAGACAGGTACTCAGTCTTATAATAAGTAACAGCACAAGTTTAAATTACACAAATAATATACATATACCTACAACTGGACCTAGTTAAGACCTACCAGTGTATGTCATGTTCGGGTGAGCACAGTTCCCACACACACTTACCCATAGCTAGAAGTGGCTGGTACACACTCCAGTTCTTTGTTGTCAGGGGCGGGCACATCTTGATCACCGTTATAGGGGTTGACACCCCACTCATTAATCCAGTCATCACAAATTTCAGGGCCACCCCTTTTCCCCTATTGATGGCCTGATTATCTGGGGTCATGACCTGTGACTGACCAATCATATCACAGAGGGACAGCTTTGGAGGTGTGACACCGGTAATGACTGGCAGTTTCTCTATGGAGCTGAGTTTGGAAATGTCTTCTGGTATGGAAGATCCAGGGGTGTGGAGTGGGGAGTGACTGCGTCGGCCGACTCCAACCTGTAAGGGAACAGGGAGAGTCATGTACAGGTCCAAGAAGTAAGTACAGTAATTAGAAAATAAACAATTTAGAATCGTAAGATTTGTCTGAAATATCAGCCCCATATCTAAACTATGAGTCTTCTGATTAAGACTGTCATCATCCTCTAGATCCAGACCATTATCCTACAGCTCCAGAATATCAAGCTCTAGTTCTAGCGGAAATTGAAATCGCTATATACTGGAAAATGTTTGCCACAGATTAACTTTTGCTTTTTTTAGCCCTCTGCCCTCTGTTATAGGGACAATTTATCATTACATCAAAGATCAGTTTATAACCAGTACTTTACAAGGTTATTCCATGTGAAGGACAGTATTTCAGCTGTTTTTGTAAAGGGACCTGGGCCACACACATATCTGCTATTAGGATTTTTTTAAGTAAACATGAATATGAGCTATTGTAAAACAGTATTGCTTGCCTTTTCAAGAAATATTTGAAAAAAGAACTTGTTTTACTCTTTTACTTCTCTGCAAAAACGTTTGACCCCTCAGGATCGATTTTACCAAATATCAAGACGCCATTTAAATGTATAAAGTGATTACGTCTGTGACATTTTCAGAATATCTTTTACCAGGTTGCTAAAGAACAGATTATGTTTCCCTAGCAAAGACAGAAAAGCACCTGTTTAGTGAGAGAAACACTTACCACTGGCTCCATCATCAGCATTTCCCAGAAGATCACACGACTGTCCGTCATTATCAGGACGACTGACCGCTCGAACACTGGGCAGCAGGCAATGCCGACAACCTTGCTGTGTCGTGTCACACGCAGACTGTCAGACTGACAACGCATGTCGTACGCCACGTCCATAGACACATGGGGTGGTGAGTCATCTGTATTAATCATAGAACAGCCTTGTTAATCAGGGTTCATAGAACAGCCTTGTAAGTCAGGGTTCATATAACAGCCTTGTTAGTCAGGGTTCATAGAACAGCCTTGTTAGTCAGGGTTCAAACTGTCCAGTCATAGAACAGCCTTGTTAGTCAGGGTTCAAACAGTCCACTCATAGAACAGCCTTGTTAGTCAGGGTTCAAACTGTCCACTCATAGAACAGCCTTGTTAGTCAGGGTTCATAGAACAGCCTTGTTAGTCAGGGTTCAAACTATCCACTCATAGAACAGCCTTGTTAGTCAGGGTTCAAACTGTCCACTCATAGAACAGCCTTGTTAGTCAGGGTTCATAGAAAAGCCTTGTTAGTCAGGGTTCATAGAAAAGCCTTGTTAGTCAAGTTTCATAGAAAAGCCTTGTTAGTCAGGGTTCATAGAAAAGCTTTGTTAGTCAGGGTTCAAACTGTCCACTCATAGAACAGCCTTGTTAGTCAGGGTTCATAGAAAAGCCTTGTTAGTCAGGGTTCAAACTGTCCAGTCATAGAACAGCCTTGTTAGTCAGGATTCAAACTGTCCAGTCATAGGACAGTCTTGTAGTTTTAAAATATCACAATTTTGATTAGACATGAGTTTAAGGGAAAATGTTCAAAAACTTATTGATTTTTTATACACATAAACGACTAATTCATAGAATATTGACCACATTTATCTGAAGTTTCAAAGTTAGCAATAGCGTTTTAAAAATGGTATCCAAGGTAAATGATTTAATTGGTTACTAGAATATGTGAGAAATTTGCAAACAAATTAGGTCTGTTGCAATTGCTTGCTTGTTTTGATACAGAAACAGAACTAACACAACTACTGGTTATATATGTAAATGTAGTGTCCCTTCAGCTCCAGTTTAGCAAACATTGTATTGAAATTATCAAACCATATATATGAACTGCATATCATTAAATTGTAAGAGAAATTTGCAACAGATCAATGGTCACAAAATTAAGAGGAAATTTGCAGACTGATCATGAGGGTGTTCAAAATGAAAAATAAATCCCCTAATAAAAAAGGAGGTATTTCACAGTATGCAAGCCAGAATCTTAAGTGCTATGTTTTTACATAGGTTAAAATTAAGGCAACATGTACAACACAAACTTTTTTTACCGAAGGCACCGACTCCCTCTGACGCAGGTGTAGTGATGACATTGGTTCTCCTCCTCACTCGGGTGGTAATGCTGCCATTCTCATGTAAACACAGCATCACGTCACGCTGTCTGAGAGGCAATACCTAGGGAACAAATATTCCAAATAATATCACGAGGTACCTTCTATGCTGGGCTGGAGGCGGTATTGAAGGCTGAAGGGCTTTGAAGAAAGCCACAAGCCCAGGCCAGGGGGAGTTTCCAGCCTCAACCCCCTACAGTAAGTAGGGAACAAGCCCCCCC